TAAATATTGCTTACCGACTAAGGTCGCTGCTAATAAATTATCGATTGACGTTGCAGTAATTACTGTAGGATTTCCTGCTCCATTCCGAGCATTTGGGTTCGAGGAAGCTGCTAACACATTTCTAACCGTAACCTGCTGCCTTTCCAAACCAGCTGCTATTCCCGAGAGCAAAACACCAGCAGAAACTGAACCCCACCTTAATATATCAGTCAATTTAATAAAATTGAAAAACTATTCTTAATTTTTGCTTTTGGAAATGAAGGCCAGAAAACAAACACATGTTTATTAAGTACAATAAAATATAAAAGATAAATAAATATTATATGTTCATATTAGTAACTTATTTATGAAAAATTTATTAATTTTATAATTATTTTTAAAAATGGCACATCTTTTGTTGTAAGTCCTTATTTGCAAAATAGATTTCAAGTTAAATTGTATAAAGGTTTAAATTTTGTGTTTTTTTTTTCATTTTGACCGATAGTACTCTAGAGCAGGGCTTCTTAATGGGTTGCGTAGGAAAATTCGCAAGTCGCAAAAAATTTCAATGTCAAATATTATATATCATTTTAGAACATCACGTCTAGGTTATACAACAAATTACAACAAATTCTAAAATTATATATTTTTATATATATCTGTATATGTATATTGTTACCAAAAAATATATTTTTTTTAAATGTATGGGGTCATCAAAAAACACGCAATCATAAATGGGGTCGCAAAGAAAAAATTTTTTTTCATGTTTTTTTAACAATTCCGAATTTTTTTAAAAATACTAAATGAAAAGTTATAGTTTTGTGCAAGGACCATACGATAAAGCGATGTATAGAGAAGATCCTCTCCAAATTTGAAGTAAATCGGTTCATTAGAACTCGAGATATCCTTACCGCCAGCTCGAAAAAAGTAGTTCCGAGAAAAACGAGTTCAAAATTTTGAAACAAGTCGGACTCGAACCGAGGTACGTCACTAAAACGGCTATAACTTAGGAAATAATAGTAACTTTGAAAAATCTTTTTAGTGACATATTTTTGAATAACTAAACTTTGAAAATATGAAAAAACAAATTTTTCGATTTTTTCAAAATTCTACAGTATAATACCCCCTTAATAAAATATTTATTGGTTTACTTACTTTGTTCTTATGACACCAGATTCAACAGGACATTGACTAATTTGATTATTATTTCCAAATTCCTCGTATTCGATATTTTCTCGAGAGTGGCGATTGCTGCTTGATCTAAAAAAAGAACAGGAAAATAAGTTTTCAAATAATCTTAACAGTACTAACAATAAGTAAGTTTCAAATACAATTTTGGTATAAAAAACAAATTAGTTATGCTTAAAAATTATGAATCACACCAAATACAGTTTAAAACTCGATTTTTGAAATATTGGCAATGCCTAGTGTCATATATCTACCAACAATATCATTTTATTAAAAATCTGAACTAATGATGTGAAATGGTGGTCATGCAATTATTTCACAATGATTAAGCTTTCGGACGCGATTGCAATAATGAAAATTTACGAACAAAATTTTTTTACCCCAATCACTTATACATACATTTAATACTAACTAACATTATAAGTTATACTTACACTTTTCGTGGAATTCTTATCGATCTATAGGGAGCAAGTTGTCCACATCTGGAACCTTCATCTCCTCGAACTTCTGTTTCAATAGATGACGAGAGCATAAAATGTAAGGAACACTGTGAAAAGAGCAAATATATATATATACAAAAAATGCTAATATATATTTCCTTATACATATAAAGAAAAATATAGGTGACTGATACAAGAAATGTGGAAGATTTTGTTATAAGTATCTAAATAAATTAATATAATGAAACAAAAAATTATTTGAAAATTTTGGCATCCTTTCGGTATAATGGGAGAGCAATCTAATGGACCGATTCTCCCGCACAACAGAGTAATGTTATGGCAAGGCTATGTTATGAAGAACTTTTCATATTGAATATTGACAAAAGCCATGTGGTTGCTGTTTTTTCAGGTTGTCAGATAGAAAATCTAACCTAGAAACCGCACAAATGTCTAAAAACCGGTCTTAGATAACAGGGTCTTTCTAGCCCAGCTTCATAACATCATGTGTAAAACGCCTAAATGCACAGCAAATACATGACGTTTTGACAGTATTCAGTATGATTCAGTACCATAATGTATGGAAGTTGAAGCGTAGCATAATCTTGCAATAACATTGGTCTTTTGTGCGGCAGAATCGGCCAATAAGCCTAAAAATCCCTAATCAATATGTCAAGATCATCCGCAGCTTCGGAATTTGACGATTTTCGAAATCATTTTTTTTACATCATCGACAATATCTTTGTCTAGATGTTCATCTTCGGCATCTACTTAGTCATATAAAAAAAGCTTCTACCTCTTGCAAACATTTTATTTACTTATAGTTAGATTCACCGTACTTCGTTGCCATCACTTGAAATTTAGAGCATTTGATTAGATTAGATTGGACGTCGAGCATAACAGAATATGGTTACTTTTTTATATTTCAAAAATATTACTAACTATGCTACGTACTTAGTTGATTTTTTTGAAAATCATTTGAAATATTTGCTAAAGAACTGGAGACGATAGAAAAAATACATATCATCCGACAATTGTCAGTGAGTAGTTGAAGATCCTATTTCTTGAAATATTTAGAAACCATGCGTAAATGGATTACAAGTAATTACTAACCAGTTGATTTATTTTACTATGTAAACGTTTTACTTTTTACACAATTGTCTTACCCTTTCTATGTCAGTGAGAGTATTATTAGGAAAAGGCTTGCCACTATTTGGGAGAAGTCTTGAAAAAATCAGAGCATGTTTCTCAAACTGCTGGCCTGTTGTACTGAAAGGAATTACAGCACTGGAAGGAGCAACACCTTCGGCTTTTTTGATACCGTCTACTTTGAATCTGTAGCATATTTACAAAAATTGGTGAGTCATAAAAAATAAAGTGAATATCTATAATCAAGAATATGCAAAACATCGAAATTGTTTTATTAAGCAAACGCATGAAAACATGTTTTTAAGTGAGTATGATCTGATCAAATCATTCCTGATGAATAATATTATGTGTAATTTAAATATGATCAATATAGACACTCCATATTTGCCTATAATATATTTTGCAAAAATTGGTGAGTCATAAAAAATAAAATGAATATCTATAATGAAAAATATGCAAAACATCGAAATTGTTTTATTGTTAATAAGACGCATGAAAACATGTTTTTTCAAGTGAGTACGATTTGATCAAATCATTTCTAATGAATAATATTATGCGTAATTTAAATATGATCAATATAGATACTCTATATTTGTCTATAATATATTTTGCAAAAATTGGTGTGTCATAAAAAATAAAGTGAATATCTATAATCAAGAATATGCAAAACATCGAAATTGTTTTATTTAAGACGGATGAAAAAATGTTTTAAAGTGAGTATGATCTGATCAAATCATTCCTAATGAATAATATTATGCGTAATTTAAATATGATCAATATAGATACTCTATATTTGTCTCTATATAATATATTTTGCAGACACTTGAGCAAAAATAATTGATTTCACAATTGTATGTGACTAATGATATTAATACAAAACAAAAGATAATGATTTGATATCGATAAAGTTATCAATCACCGTTGTTTTTGAGTTCGGTTATAATTATCAAATAATGTTTTGGCATATAGTCTCAAAATTAATGGTTGATAATTTTTAGACATATTTTTACACTATCTAAAAAAAGATTTTTGATTATTCTCAGTGAAGCCAAACATAAATTTATATCAAATATTCCTTACATCAAAGTATGAAAATTAAATTTTAGTTTCTTTTTCAAATCATTTAGGATTAAAATTTTATTATGATTTCTTGACATATTTTCAGCTGCATTTATAATTTTATTAATATAGCACTAATATATGTAATTCTTTGCAAAGATATGCGTCTTTTTATAGTATCTATAATTATGTATAAATGACTTTGGTAAAAAAATAAATATATATCTCCTTTTAATATATTTAATCTCACCTATATAATAATCCTAGTACAAGTTCTCTCAAACTGAGCCTGGTTTGTTTATCACTTTCAACTTTTCTTATAAGATCTATCAGTGTTGTTAAAGTTGCAGGCAGTCTGTTGTCTCGATCCAGAAGTTTGGGATTTGTGTAACATTCTACCAAAGAAGCGGGCACTCTTTTCTGTGTATTTTCTTGGGTATATACTGACACTAAAATACTACAAACTACGAGGAAAATGCCTGAAATGTACAGAAAAAATATTTTCAAGAGATGGAACTAGTGGTGTATAATTTTATGCATTAAGACATAATTTTGGAATTTTTGATCAGTGTTGGAAATAAAAACATTACAACAAAACTGGAACCAAAATTACATGATTTTTTTGAAACCGCCAGTCTTGCTTTAAAATCATTGATAAACCAAGTTGTATGGTTATTATTTTACTATGGTTACAGAGTAGTAATTACTAATATCGATTATCAGAGATATCGAATAAGAAATATTATTAAAATTTTCAATATACTATATTTAATTTCCCAAGCTCATATGATTATTTAACGTTTCAATTAGCAATTACTTGGATTCAATTAGTAGAGTATAACACTAAATTTAAACATATGTAATATTTTTAGGTAGTGAAAAGTATAGTCAAAAACAAATATTTTTTTTAACAGTCAGCAGCTAAGTTAATGTATTATTGTAAAAAATACTTTTTTAAATTATGTTTTTTTTAATAATCATTTACACGTTTCTCGTCTCGATTTGCTCTTGTTTAGAACAAGTACAAATTATAATATAAAAATAATATAAATATAAATAATATAATATAAAAATATTATATAATAATGTTAAAGAAATAATAGCAATTAAAAATGTATACAACTATCAACACAAACCATAGATAACATAAGAAATACCTATTACGCCAAACTTTAATGATTTTTTACAATTAAACTACTTTATATAGGGTAGAGTGGGGCACGAAGGTCCAATTTGACTTTGAGCAAATTACATTCTAAAAACCAAAATAATTATATCACAACAAATAACACATATAAAACAAAAACTATCTGACTATGTTGAATAAAACTCCCAGCTAATACATCATTGCAAAATGTTTTGTTTTTGCTGGTATTCAATAATTTGTCACCTGGTCCATTTTACCCCATGGGCGGGGTAAAATGGGGCAACCAGAAGACGAACAAATCCAATGTCTTATTATTAATTTTAAAGGGATTTTACAAATTAATAGCTACATTATTCAACCAATGCAAAATTTAAATTTTATGGATGCATTTTCTACAGAGATAACACTGCATATAATCCTGATCAGGTATTTTGTCAAAAATATTTATCAGCAGAGTTGGAATTTTTATTTATTTAATTTATCTCTTGCAAAATTGCAATTTTTAAACTTAATTTATTTTTGAATTTACTATATTTTATTGATTACACCTTTGCCACTAACAACGAAAGAAAGTACTATTGTTCATAATTTTTAAACATTGCCGTTTGACTCCTCATAGAGATATTGCATGAATCCAGGTAATGGCTGGTTATACATCATTTTCCCTTTGCTTTCATTGTTGTTAAAAAAATTCTTAAATTTACTTGTTTTTGAAATATCGGTGGTGAAGCTTTTTACCCACGAACCTTTAAGCCCCGCTCTACCCTATTTCAACAAACTTTTAATAAACAACAATGAGTTTTTAGATCCATTATAGTTATGCTAAATACAAAATATCAAACCATTGTTTTAATTTACTGACTATATCACCAATCGTAAAATATAATTGAGATTGTGGATTGTTTTGTGAAATTAGTTTTGTACATCTAAAAGTTGTAACTAAATGCAAAATTTTACTATTATTCAATAATATATTTCTTAGGATTCTTATCACCCCTTCGATGATGATTTGCAAAAGATAAACTTTGCAAATAAGCGATAGATAACTTACTGAGGTCGTAATCGCTTGTGTAAACTATAATATAATATTTTATTCCCTCAGTGAGTCATTTCGAATCTTGTTCGTTTTTCTCTTTGCATGAATAACACAAAAATCGCATGGGATAATGTGAGATGCGATTCAATATTTTACACAATGGGCGGACAGGACCAATGTTCAAATCATACAATTTTCAGAATCAATTTGGTGAGTCATAGAATTCTGTAAATTGAAAATGTGTTTGCGTATTTTGTAATTCAAACAAATAACAGAATACAATAAAGAAATCTGAAATTAATATACGAGAGTAAAGTGAGTCAAAATGTGATAATCTAACATTTTTTTAATCTATTTTTTTTTTTAATTTTGAAGTGAACCACATAACATATTTATTATAAATGTGTTGAAAAAAAGTCAAAGACTATGTCAAATTGATTAGAAGAATAAGTGAGTTCCTCTGTACAAATACATATAAATTGCAAATGAACAAATTAAGAACCTTGTTATGGTAATATTAGCTTATTCTATTATATAGGTTATTGTAGCTCGCCTATTTCTGGTCAAATCTTGTTTACGTCCTTGTCAGATAATATTGTGATATTGTGGTTTCATTTTTTATATAGCTAAATAAGAATATATTTCAAGTAACTCTTCAACAACTCAATAATTATTACTGGTATTTATTTATTTGTAGCACGTGAAAACTGCTGAATGTTTCTAAGGGAGAAAAAAAGAGTATTTCCATCAAAAACGTTCTTTAATGTAAAATCTTGAATTTTCACCAAGAACTTTCTGTATAGTAAAAAATGAGGAAGAAATCCTAAAACGATTTAAAAGTTCAAAAAGCGTTTGAAAAATACCAGATAATCTCAGAAAAGTCGTTTCTTCCTATTTTTGTTATAAAAATTGTTTAAGAACTTCTTAAATTGCTAAAGCTTTTTATATTTAACTATTTAAAGGATTTAAACCGTTAACAGGTTTCGGTAATTAATGTTTGTTGCAGTTTAATAAATTATCTATTTATTTGAAAAATATCAGCAGAAAGTAATGTTTTGTAGTTTTCCTAAAGGTTCTAGTCATTTCCTCTAATAATTTGCTTTATATTAAATTACTTAAGACTGACAGTCATAAATTTATAAAATAAATTAATAAAAGTGAAACGATCTACGTTTTTGTTACACCTCACTTTACTAAAAAGTAGTACGTTTGCATATTTTCAACATACAATACCTCGTGTCTTTTCCTTAAAAGTTGAAATTAGTATATTAGTACATTTTTTTAGAAAGGACTTCGAAATGGTGTAATCCCTTAAATAATAGAGAGTAGACGATTTTGTGGCCAAGCCGAAATTATCATATAATAAAGATGCAATTGTTTTATCATTTTGATAATAAATAATAAGAATTAACTAACTATTGCAGACTTGCAATAAAATTTATTAAAAAAATCATCTTTGAGCAGCAATTAAAACTAACTTATACTTCTACAACAATGTTTTTTTGAGAAGGTAATCCTAACTATCTATATATTTTGATTTTTGTTTATTAGAAGACAATCGAGAAACAAGTATACAAAAAAATCAAATATCATAAAACAAAGATTTTTTTAGAAGGTAGCCCAATTGTTTCTTTCCTAATGATGAAGATATATATTTGAACGTATTGCAACAAAGCCGGAAAGAGCTATTTGCACGTCGACAGATATTTTGATCTTTATTTCCCAATTTATATGGATATCACTACAAAAGCTGGTTTAAATAAGCACAATCAAATAAACTGACAAATTATATCTTCAACAAATAAGTCTATAAATTACACACATCACTGATATATTTGTAATTTTATTCAAATATTCATTAGTTTTTAAGTAAGTTATAATATTTCCAAAAGTTTCCTGAAAATGCTTAGTTAGCCAATTGTAAAATTATTTTTCAAAATTGCAAATACAATTATATTAATGCTCCTTACATAATATCAATCATAATTAGACGTAAAAGCTTTCAAGTACGAAATATTTAAAATATTTCATTGTAGTATGAATCATCCAAAAATTCAATGAAAAGAGAGGAAGTCAAACGAGATTTTTCTTGTTGACCTGAATTATTTGAAATTCTTCTGTTACATGAATCACCATAAGCGGCTAAATGCCTGAAAACTGATTCATATCTACAACAGTGAAAATTGCCCTAAACTATGATAACAATTGTACGAATGATAAGGCGGGCTTTGTTGACATAACGGCTTCAAATGCTATACAACGACATACTGGAGATGTGACAAACAGACCGAGTTTTAAAAAAAAACAGATATTAAAAAATATTATAGCAACAATCAAGATCTTACGTCCTATAAGCTGTTGGGCTCAAACTTCTCCTTAGGTCATACTTTTAAATGGTAACCCAACGGTTGATCCATCCATATTTGACAATTTTATTATTAGATTTTATCTAATATTATTCAATTAGGTGCAGCAATATCGAAATTGATAGTTAATAATAACATGCCATTCTGATTTGTATATCTCGCATTGTTTTACAAATTCTCGTTACTTCGCTATTAAAGTGTTTTTTACTTCAAATGTTAATTAAAATCATTATGGGAAATTAATACCAGCAATTTATTTTTGATTCACATCCAATGAATTCAGCTTTAGTGTGTCATTTTTTTCAAGTGAAATTTTTTTTCAATGTATATATCTTTCTCGTGTTTTAGCATTAAATTATTTTCTGAAATTGTATAAGCATATTATATGCTTATACAATTTCAGAAAATAATTCAATTAATAAAACCTTAAGTGAATAGTGGAAGATACTATTTGCTGCATATAGTATCTTCCACTATTCACTTAAGGTTTTATTAATTTATAGTTTATAGTTCATTCAATCATAAATAAAGTTCGTTAAAGATAATAGAATTAACTCACTAAATAACGAAAAATATTCATCATTGAACTAGTAAATTTTCTGTACATATGGGAATAAATATACCGAGTATTGAATTTAAACAAGTAATCAAGTTTATTTAATCAAGTTTTTAATTATACCAATTTTTCATTTAAGTTTAAAATATCCAGTGGTGCTATTGAAAATGTTGGTTAAGTTAGATTTTTTTGTATCTGTTTAATCTTTACCCAAAAAAGACAAAACCCACTATCACATGTCACAACCGTACCCAACGCACACTTTTAAAAACAAATCATCGTTATGACTTACAATTAGCTAAATTATCTACGGTTTCGTTGGTAATTAACTACTAACGTTTAACTTACAGTAAAATAAGTAAAGCAACATATCTGTATACAAGTAATAGTTATTATTAAAACAAATCGAATAAAAAACTTACTTTTGACTCTTTAAAAGCAATCCGGTTTACAGATTTTGTCAATGTAGGGCGCTGACTAATGCAATAATATAAACTTGTTCAAAAAAGCATACTTCACCTTTCTTCTCTTGGACCCTATCTCAAAATCAGTATAATTTAGCTATTATGACGGCTAACGTACCTTGGCATAACCGTTCCAAGCCGTTTATTATGTTCGAAAATTTTTATAAAACTATCATATTTTACGAGAGTCAATTACATTACATCAATTTTTATTTTAAAAGTTTTACTTGTTTTTAGTGACGTAATATCTATTTGTTAAGGCATGAGCACCTGCGGATTGAGTATATGTGATACAATTTTATCAAGGGAGATAACGAGTTGTAATACGGCGGTGGTATAGATTGCAATGAAAATTGTAAAATCTACGAGAATATTTCATATTTCAAGAAAATGATAAAATTTACTACGTTAACTTCACAGAATTCCATATAAACATTATCCTCTTGATTCCATATACATTATGTGTATAACATATTTATCATTCAAAAGCATTAAAAAATCATGATACTTGTAAAAATTATTGATTTAAATAATTTAAATTTTTAAAAATTCATATATAGAACAGTTCAGATAAAGTATAAAATCTGATAAAGTGACAAACAAAAAATATTTATTAGCGCTTTTCTTTTCGGAAAATAATTTTGTATAGATTACACAATTTCTGAATACACAACCATTATATTATTCATATAGAGTAGAGCGGAGCACAAAGGTCCAATTTGACTTTGAGCAATTATATTGTAAAAAGCAAAAATTATATCAAATGTCAAACAAACAACTATTAGACTATGTTCAGTAGAACCCCAGCTAATTCAACATTGCAGAAATGTGAGTTTTCACTGTTTTTCAAAAATTTGTCACCTGGTCTTTTTTAACCCATGGGGCGGACAGGGGGCAAACAGGTCCAATGTCTTATTCTTAGTTTTATAGGAATTTTACGAAACAATAGATTCATGTTCAGTTGGTCCTTTTTATACTTGTGTAAGCTGTTACAAAGGTTATATAAAAAAAATAATTGAATCTAACACAAAACTATTAAGGTAATGGTTTGTTATACATAATTTTCCCTTTACTTTGAAATATTATCGTATCTTCACTTGTTATTGAGATATTGATAGTGGACCTTTTTACTCGTTTAACTTTTAAGCCCCGCTCTATCCTACTCAATTTTTTTGTTATAATTATATTTAATTTTAAATGTACGAGACGTTGGAGAATCTATTCATACAGAAATACTTATTTCAACGTTTTAACAAATGCGGAATTGGATCCTGTTTTCTCAATCAATTCAATTGGATTTATTATTTTTAATAACTAGTCTGTTTTTTAAAGTAAAATTTTTTTGAATATATAAAATGTTCAATGTCCAAATTTTGATATAATATAAATATAAACAAAAAATACGATTGATACGAAAATAATATAATATTCTAGTTTTATCGTTAAAATCATCGAAATATGAATAATAAATAAAATTACATGTTTTACTATTTGAGTTCTCGAATGCTATAAGTTAAAATAGAAATTATGGGAACTTATTTTCATATAGATATGGGAATGAATATATGAGTGAAATAAAAAAATACTCAGATTTCAAATTTGCCAAAAAATGTACGGTTTGCCCTGAGGAACAACATTTATGTGAATTTGTAGCATTGTGGATCAATAACATTATTGCTTATAATTTAGATTGTATCTCTTTTGAAAATATTCATCAATTATCATGCAAATTTAAAATGAAAATTGTCATAACTAGTCAACAAATTTAAACTAACTTCCCAAAAAAAGTTTAAAAAAAATACAGGAAAACGCAATATGTATTTTCAGGGTTGAGTATTTATACATTCTATCACTAAACATCTATTGCTTGAATCAAAATTTTGTTTTTATAAGAAATATGCCATCTATGGATCTATGGATCTATGGACCCATTAATTAGGAAATTGCGTTACAATATTTACATAGAAATTAGTTAGATTGATCTACTCAAAATCTAAATTGGAAGCAAATTGTAATTCTATACTTGCCTTGAATAGAACTGTGTTTTTTAAAAATAGAAAATATTAATAAAAAATATTTGCTTTTTTTAAAACAGAACTCTCATTTACATACTATGTTCGAATTGCGTACCATATATTTTTAGAACTCTATATTTGTCAGAAATAACTATTGTGATGCGGATTCATAATAAAATGAGAACAATGTTTTGGAATAGGGTAAGAATTTGATTCATTGGGTACCAAATTTCAATTTTGACGCATTTCTACTTGACCTACTTAGTAAAATTATTTATTAGCTTCTATAAAGGAATTGATATATGTCAACACTATCCAAACATACACTAATACACATGGATGCAAGAGCATTATATACTTAAAATATCCCAAAATCAATGAATACAAAATGTAAAATCAGAAATTATACACCGTGTGAGATTGTTCTTGAACATGTTATTCAACTTGGATCAACTTATATTTTACCTTTTCCTAGCACAGAATTAGTTATCCACATTTTGTAGCACTTGAATTAAACAATTACAAATTATGCACATAGGACATTAATAATATATTGCGATTCTTTACAACACTGATCAAAGTATGAAATGATAAAACATTATTCTAGTTCAACCTGTATCATGAAACTAATGTGAATGATAAGATAACTAATAACCTGATAACCAAAACCAAGCCCAACGTGCAGTAAGTGAAGGCAAAAATTGTATTTCTGATACCAGACATTTTTTTAGGATTATGATTTGACTTGTAAAATGATGTGTAATAATGATAAGTGACAAACGATCACAAGAAATAAGTTTATTTTCTTGTTATTTAATTAGTCATTTCAGCTAAAATATGATCGATTTTGTTTTTTTTGAAGAGAGGTAATTTTGTAAAGAAATATTTTGACTGAACTAGAAAATCAGTGTCACCTCCATCGAGAGCCACAACATACGTTTATATTATTATAACTGTTTATACACTTAAAAAATATTGGAAGTAGTATTTAGTTAAACTTGTATTTAGACATAATAAAATCGAAAAATAAATTTCAAAATTTGCTCAGCTATTCCGTTATTAATAATTAATTCTTTTACGTACACAGGTTTTTTCTTTTTAATGTGAGAGTTAAAATCACACAATTAATACTCAATTTTAGTATAAGAAATTATACTAAATTTGAGTATTAATATGAATATTCATTTTACAATTTCAGTAAAAAAAATTATACTAAAATTAAGTATTAATATAGAGCTTCTATTATATATTATACATATTAAAATTTATTAATATTAGTATATCAATATATTAACCCTTTCGACTCGGATGCCGCCGGCAAAATTCATATAAATCTCGATTTTAGCGAGTGGAAAGAGTTAAAGAATACTATTTCTGTAAAAATGGTAAGATTATATTTTTTTGTAAATATTGGCTAATTTGTAATCATCGGTTAAATAGAAAGTTAAATAGAAAAAAAAATTAAAACAGGATTTGCAAATTACATAAATTCAGTACACTTGAAAAGACTTGAAGTTACAAGTTCGTAATTAAATTGAAATTGCTTTTTTTTAAATCGTTTATATTAAGAATAAATAAATTTAAAATAATTACTGTTATCACTCATATATTAAAACAAAAGCTTTGCTTCTTTAAATTGGCCAGCTTAAAATAAAAGTGGGTGAAAATGTACATCAGTTTAAAAAATAAGGCTAAAATGATTTATGTACAATTTAGTATAAAATTGACTAGTGGTGAAAAATTGATAAACTATTTAAAAATATTTAATAATTAAATATTAAAATTTTAAATATTTTATTTAGCCGATAATTACGAATTATTGGACGACATGTTTATTTACATAAACTGTATGAATTTCTAGTGCTTAAGCAATTATAATTGTTTTTATTTATACAATACAAACTTCGAGATAATTTTAAAAATAAAATATTGATATACTACCAACTTTCTGAACTGTAAGGCAAAGTAAATAAGTAGCAAATTGATATGATAAATATAAACAAATGGTTTTGTTCATATTATTCCGTATATTATATTATATCTTTATATTTGTTAAATTTTTATTTAGTTTTGTTTATTTCTTTAAAAAATATACTTATGCCTAATGTCTAATTATGACATTAAATAGAAAAAATATTAAATTTTAACCCTTTCCACTCGCAAATTGCGAGATTCATATGTATTTTGCCGCCCAAGCGGTGGCATCCGAGTGGAAAGAGTTAATATTTAATTAATGCTATAATTAAAAATATAAATTATAGCATTAAATAGGAAATGTTAGTATTAATTTTTCAGAAATATTTTATTGCCTGCCGGCTTAGATATGCAGTTTACGAGTATCACATACATGTCCTCGGTAGTATAGTGGTCAGTATCCCCGCCTGTCACGCGGGAGACCGGGGTTCGATTCCCCGCCGGGGAGGATATTTTTTATTTATATTTTTTGATAGAATCCGTTTTTTATGTGAAATGAAACGACTTATATTTGTTAACTATTCTTATAGCGATATTAGAATTCATAAATTCTATAAAATGAAAAAAAATCGAGATTCATAAATTTTATAAATACAATTATTAAATATATTCAATTTATAAATTATTTTACTAAAAATCCCGTTTCACAGGATACCAAAAAAAAAAAAATGCAAAAATAATGTTTTTCTTCCTGATATGATGTATTTTTTAAATTCAATTAAAAAGTTGCCTGAAGGCAAATTCCTGGGACAATTCGTAACGTAACTTTATATGTTCAAGAGCTCAGAAAAAAAAAAAACATTCATCGTGAGCATTTTGAATTTTGTTTTTGAATATTTTCGAAAATTTTTAAAAATTTGAATATTGAAAAAATTGCCTGTTTTGAAAATACTAATATCTCTTGAAAAGTGTGTGATATCCATTATTCATACTGTCGAAAATATCTTCAATTTAAACATTTTTTTGGATCTTCGAAACCGCAGGACCGGCCTTTGCAAAAATTCTTTATTATGTCAATACAAGTAAAATGTTTTTTGAATCATACAAATCGGATCTTTCGTTCTCTCAAAAACTTAGTTGCCATTCTAGGCACTTTTTGCTCCGTATCAATAGGAATCGAGTTATTTTTGAATAATGCAAATCTGTTGATCCGTGCTTCCAAAAACGTGGAAAAAAATTGTATCCACACACACGGACATATACACCTATTCATTTTTTTAATTGTAAGGTATGCCAAAATGTTCAGAAACCACTGAAGCGTATAGAAAATTTTATTTTTGGGATGTCTATAACGTAAATGTTATTAATAAAATATGTATGTATAAAGTATGAAAATTGTTTCATAATCTCTCATACCAGACACATCTGTAATAGTCTAATAATATATAAATGAATAAATAAAAAAAATATATTAAAATTAAATATATTATTCTATATAAAAAAGTATTATTAAAATTTTAGATAAAGGGTTCTACCCATGGCAGACCGACTCTGTAAGCTGAGATTATAAACTCCAATTCGATGCAGGGAAGAATAGTGTGAGAGATTTTGCATTGCCATTGCACACCGCATTGCTCGAAATGGTCTATTTTCAGTTGGCAACATATTTTTGATCTATACTTTCAAGTGAAAATGGACATCGCTGCTGCACTATGTTAGTTTGTCAAAAGCGGGGTTCGAACTCTCGACCCCGTGAGTTTAACCATTACACCATGGAAATTTTATGTATAAATATATTATTTGATGAAAAAATATAAATATAAATTACAAAAAAAATAAAAAAATGAATTGTATTTTCGCAAGCGAGCGCAAAGAATTAAAATACACGCACTATTAACCCGCTAAATTTAGTTTATAGCATAAACAGAAAAGTTCTCAAATGTAATAAAATATGTTAATTAATTCAAATAATATATATTATTTATTTAGTATTAAAATATGTTTGTAAAACTACTTCGACGAGGATGGGATTCGAACCCACGCGTGCAGAGCACATTGGATTAGCAGTCCAACGCCTTAACCACTCGGCCACCTCGTCACATGGAAATTTGACTACACGAGGCATATAGGAGCTACGCGATCCTAACAACGTACTACTAAAATAGAACTATAGTCAAAAATTAATTAAATTTAATTATTATTATAGTTGCAAAATTAATAGATTTTACTACTATATAAAAATGGCTTAAATTGATTTTTTACGATCCAAGATAAAAATTGTTGCACATGATTTTCTAGAATTAGTTTAAGTAAACAATTCAAAGAATCTATATGATAAAGGTAATGAAAAAATGTGTATATATAGCAGATAAGTTATCAAACTTATCAATCAACTTATCAATTGTGTGTTTCAATAAGAATATTGCGCATCATAATATTGTAGTGAATATTCGAACCTTTCAAATGAATTTTTCGTACTGCTAAAGAGATGACACGAGTATATGAAGTATATAAATTGTAATTTGTATCAGTTCAGAAAATGTGTATTGCCCGATGTGATAAAAAAAACCAAACTAAGAATCCGAACTAGTAGTGCACGGCATTGTGCCTTAAGGCTAATTATTGGAACTTACCGTACCAAAAGTAAGTTTTAAAAAAACTTTGCATTATTTTTATATTTTGATTTTTTATTGAAAATAACGGCTGGACGTTTTTTAACTTCCCGCAGGGCAAGTTATAGTAATCACAAAAAAATCCAAAATGAAATTTTTTATATATCTTTACGTTTCACAGGTTTCTGAACATTTTGGCATACCTCAGAAAAAATGGATGTGTGTGTGTGTAAGTATGTATGGATAAAATTTATTGTCCACGTTTTCGGGCGCGCAGATCAACCGATTAGAATGGTTCAAAAAACATTCGATTCCTATTGATAGAGAGATATGCTGATTAGTTTTTGGCAAAGGCAGGTCCAGCCGTTTCGGAGATACGAAGCAAAGAATGCAGAAAATATAAATCGAGTTTTTGAGAGATCAGAGCATCGGATTTGAAAGATCCAAAATACATTCAATTCGTAATAACAGGGAGAAGTAGTGATTATTTTTGGCAAATTCAGGTCCAGCGGTTTCAGAGATACAGAGCTAAATGTGCAAAAAATGGCAGTTTTTGAGAGAACTAAGCGTTTGATTTGAATGATTCAAAGAACTTTCTGCTTGTTTTAACAAAATAATTGCTTTTGAAAAAAAATTGTTTCAATTTTTTTTGTATATCGAAAATCATTCAGATTTTAATTGTAATCCTGACTCAAGTTCTAATATACTTTGAATAAATATTTATATAACAAAATATATATAATTTTTTACTTTTGATTATTTTGCGATTACTATAACTTATCCTATGAGAGAAGTTATAAAATTTATTAAAGATACTTAAATTCAAATTTCAAAATTCTTTCTTCACTTAATAAAGAATTTCTTCTCTAAAGCTAGTTTTACGATTTTTCTTGGAAAAGACGTCTAAAAGAAAATTTGCGTGGATTTTCCTAAACGTGTTAAAAATCGATAAGAATTGCATTTTAGCAACATTTAAAATTATTATTTCTATCTTAAACGATTTTTTATCATTAAATCACTTGTTGTAGGCCCATAATATTTTAGAA